CCGCCTTTTTCCATCTTTGGCGGATAGTCTGGCTGAGACCCTATCTCAATACGGGGGTGCTCACTACCTTGGTACATGCACCCGTAATCTCAAGATTATACCAGTGTAATGCGCTCTACATGGGGCTACCTTTGAGATTGATGTGGAAACTCCAAGTGGTGCAGAATGCGGCGGCCAGACTCCTTAGGGGAGCGAGAAAATGCCATCATTTCTCCTATTCTGGCTGCATTGCACTGGCTGCCCATTCGGTTCCGCATTGACTACAAAGTCTTAATGCTTACGTATAAAGCCCTAAACGTTTAGGGCCTCACTACCTGGCGGAACGCCTACTCCCACCAAGCAAGTCAGGAGGTGAGGCTGAGGAGTCTGACACTGAGGGAGGCCTGGAAGGAAAAAAACAAGAAACTGGGCCTTCTCGGCGGTCGCTCCTCACCTCTGGAACAATCTGCCTCTGGAGATTCGTGCGGCCCCTTCGCTGGGTATTTTTAAAAACCAATTAAAAACATGGATGTTCAGGCAGGCCTTCCCTCCAGTTAATATTTGATTCTTTCCTCTTCTCTTTTCTTTTTTGGTTTATTTTTTATTTTTTCTTCTCCATCTTGAGGAACTGGCTATTTGATGTAATAAATTTTTTGTTATATTTATTTGTTGTTCCATGTGTTTGTAAGCCGCCTAGAGTGGCTGCAAGACCAGATAGGTGGGATATAAATAGAATGAATGAATGAATGAATGAATGAATGAATTCCTACATTTCAAAGGAAAAAGAAAGCACAGCAAAAAAATATGGCAAAGGCATTGTTTGAATTGGCTTGTAGTGACCAAAACACCTTATAGGTGTGACATTGTTCATGGAAACTAGAACTCCTCTCTCGAAATTATTTGCCACCCATCCAATTAGATTATAGATCAAGTTAAGAGCAGCTCCTCATTCAGCCCTGCAAACACAGGGCAAGGAGGGAGCAGCACAAACAGAACCCCTCTTTAGGCCTTTCATATTTCCTTTAAAACCCTCTTAGGGTTGGCATAAGTCAGAAGCACCTTGACAGCACACAACACATGGAAGTCACAGCACACAGGAGCACAACATTTGTGAATTTGACCCCTGCATTATAATTCTCACGATAATATTGCACTGTTTTATCTCATCATTTGACCTGTCCTCCTTTAAACAAGACAGAGGGACCAATGAACTGTGCTTCTTTTCCAAGTCAAAGTAGGTTCTGATCCAAGGATATACTGTATATTCTTATTAGAGATTACTTCGTAACCCTGATCTGATATGCAATTTTTAAGCTCGTCCCACTGAACCGATATGCAACGCCTCCTTGCCATCGGCACCTGCGTGGGTGGGCAGGGTGAATGTATGTACTGTACTATATCCCGGTTCCTCTTCCCAAGCAGCCCGCTTGGTCGGCGCGGGGCGAAATGAGCCTCAGCGGTGCCCCTCCTCTTTCCTCCTGCAACAACCAGCACCACCTTGATGTGGAGCATGAGTGGCTCGTTCTCTAGTTCTGCATTCTCTGCACCCGCGTTCTACACCACGGCTGGGGCATTTCCCTTTTAAGAGCTTGCAAAACTGGGAGGGCATGGAACACAGAAGATAGGGCGGCGAGGGAGAGAATCTAGGCCATCGCCCCTTTTAAACTGCAGATCTGCCTGCCTGTCTCCCTTTAATCTGCACCCAAAGCCCCAGGATCAGAGGCTGACGTCATCCTGCCCCTGAGCCTCCCTCTCTGATTGGCTGGGGGTGACGTCAGGTGCTTTTTTTCAAAGCATGACCTCATCCTCAGTTCATTTTTAGTTCTAAAGTGCAACCTTCCGTCTTCCTGGATCCCTTCAACCCTGTTAATGCTTATCCGTACACTACCCCCCCCTCCGCCCGGGCCGCCCTCCCCTTATGCAGGGACATGCCCGCTCCCTAATACCTAGGCTGGCATTATGAATGCCTTCCAGTGGGGCTGCGTGTGCGTGTTTGCACAGGGCTAGAATTTGCATCATCAGCGCTTGCCCCAGTATTTTCCACCTGATCCTCACAATTGTGGTTAATCAGCTTGACGAATGTGCCGAAATCTGCAATCAGCTGGGACACGCCAGGGGCTTTGATCCCGGGCTGCAGACGAAAAAGCCGGGAGGGTAAGTATTCCGAAATGTTATCAGTTGACTTCAGTGGGTGGCGGTGATGAGAAAGAGGATGATGATGGGAGGGTAGCTGTGTTCCCCGTATTGTGCTTAACAACCTTGCAGACTATTGCACCATCGTCGATGGTGTGCATTATTTCTGGACTCGTTTAGGGAAATTTCAACGTGCACAGGAGCTTTGCCTGTTTATTCCACGTCGGGACACAAACGGCGCATGCTGTACTAACACCGGTGTAATATCGCTGCAGCTTTTTCGTGACTGTGCATAAATTTTGTGCAGCAGAATTTATCTGGAAGGGGACGTTTCTTTCCGGGGTGCGGGCGGGATGAATCTTATTTATCTAGATACCGATTCCGAGAGAAATGTTTTATATATGTGTGTGGGGGGGGGGAGCGTGATCTCCGCAGACTAAAAAGCCGAAGCAACTCTGCCATGCGCGCACAAATACCGCAGCGGCGGCGATCGCCGTGGTGCAGTGAAAGGAGAGGTGCCCCCAGCAAATCGCAGATTTATGACGTGTATTTAAGTAACAGGAGGAGGATTAACATAAAGGAGGAGAGAGAAAAGTCGGATTATACAGAGGATCCATGAATTAGCTGGACTCTGCCAAGTGCCAGGAAGGTGTGTGCTTGTGTATGTGCGGACACACCGGCGTGGGGGCGGCTTGTGTGGTGTTTTGTCC